CTATGGCTGTAGTTCTTCTAGTCCAGACTATAGCATACTCTGTAGCCCTGACTATAGTCCAGGCTATAGATTAGATTACAGTCCATATTATAGTCAAGACTATAGTTAAAATTATAGTCTAGATTATACATTCGAGAATCGTATAGATTATGGTTCAGACTATAGTTCAGGATATAATTGAGATTAAAGTAACTGCTATAGTACAGACAATAAGTCAGACTATGGTCTAGACTATAGTAGAGACAATAGTCTACGGTTCTAGCTATAATTCAGATTGTGGTCCACACTATAGTTCGGACCATAGTTTAGTACAAACCACAGTGCAGACTATAGATTAGAGTAGAGTCCAGACCATAGCCTAGATTATATTAAAAGACCCTAGTTTAGGCTATAACCCAGACAATAGTACTGGCTATAGACCAGACTGTTGACCACCATATGGTCTAAATTGTAGTACAGGCTTTACTTCACTCTATAATTATTGATCAAAGTATATTCCAGACTAAATCTAATTTGTGTTTAATGAGTAATCATTATATAAAAGTTCCGAATCTTTGACCTTTTAAAATAAACAATAATATTTCCAAGTTTAAGCAATTTGCAACAAATTATTTCCTTTTTAAACTCAACTAGTCTTTGACAAAAAGCTAAATAATCCTAATTAATGACTTTTGATTGTTTCTCAACAAAATTTCACAATATTTATAATTTATTACAAAAAAAAAAATGTATACAATTTATCAAATTATTTCATTATTAATTCTAAAAATAAAAGCAGGTCGTTGCATATTTTAAGAAAACTTGTTTTAAGCTGTACTTTAAAACAAAAATAATGCAATAACAATTTTTTATTTAAAATTTCTAAATTTTTAAGAAATTTTCGTTAATAATTTGTCATGCAATTAAGTAAATTGTTGTAGGTACTTTCGATGGAATGCTCAAAAATAAGACAGACAAAGTTAAATGCCCTGACGTCAGTTTGTTTTGTTGTTATTGTAGCTGTTGCAAAACAAAAGACTTAAGAAATGAACTTTATTAAATGTTAATTATTGAACGTTTAATTATATATATGCATTTGTTTATTTGTTAACAATTGAAAAACTTTGACGTATGTATATCCAATGACGATAATACCAAATGAACAATAAATTGTAATACTTTTTTTTACGTGGATATGTGTATATAAACAAAAAAAGTCATTCAATGAATGAAATTGTAAATAAATTATTTATTATTTGTTAATAATTCTTTAGGATTTTTCTTACAAATAGTTAGAAAAATTTTGAATTATTCATTATTATTTATATTTTTAATGTATAATTATATACTAAATATATACATACATAGTTGTAGTTATATTAATTTTTTTATATAGAAAGAAGACTAGACGTTGTTGCTGTATTTATTATATTTTATGCAATTTTTTATCTTACTTCCACACACACTTGTTGTCAACATTAATATGCTTGTGTCTTAAGTCTTTTGTTTTTTAATTAAAGTTTTTTTAATTTAGCTCTTATAAGCTGCTTAATTATTAATGCATATTTATAAACAAAATACCTAAGTTGTACTTGAACAATATTTAAACAGTAATATTAGTAAATTAATATTAGTAAATTGAGAACTAATATTAAAAAAAATATGTTTTAATTATTTTCAACAATTTAATACAAATATTCCACATACGTTGTATTATATTCTAGTATTTTTACTTATTGTCTATATAGTTCAGATTTTCTATTTATTATTCTATAAAGAAAACTTTATATAATTTTTTAAAATTTTTTCTATTGAAAACTCTACACTTAATGTGCAATGTAATTGTTTTTACTTTATATAGTTGTTTATAGATAACATAAAATATTTTCTTATATATTTATTTTTCTGTTTTTTTTTTTTTTTATAAAACAATGTATTGTTTCATTCATTAATCATTCAATTGTTGAATGCTTGCACATGTCTATTGCTGAACGTATTTATCTTTATCAAAATGCATCTCGTTTATGGATTGAAAGAAAGAATTAAATAGAATATTTTTTTTAAATAAGTTTAATATGCAAAAAAAGCAACTTGCATATTAAAAGTTAGTAGAAATAGGAAAATTTTACTAAAGAATTTTTAGTTTGAAGTATTTAAAAAAAACATAATAGCATTAGTAAACTATAGTCATAACTATTGAATAATCTATAGTCTGTTATATATATAGGCTTAACTGTAGTTTATCACTATATTATCAGCATAGGCCTGGGTTATATTTTAAACTACAGTCTAGACTTTGAATGTACTACAACATTTACTATAGTCCCGCCTATTTTTTGATCAATAGTTTGTACTATAGTCTGAACTATAATTCGGGCTTTCATCTGGATTATATTATTAGTCTTAACTATCGTCTGGACTATAATCTTGAGTATAGTTTCGATTAAAATCTGGATTATAACATGAACTATATTTAGACTATAGTATGAACTATAGTCTAGATTATAGACTGAGCTATAGTCTGGATTATAGTGTGAAGTAAAGTCCGGATTATAGTCTGAACTATAGTCAAGACTATATTCTGAATTATAGTCTAGAATTCAATCTGAACCTATAATCTGGACTATAGTGTGGCCTATAGCCTGCACTATAGTCTCGACTTTAGTCAGTAGTATAAACTATAGTCTAGAGTATCGGGCTATGGTATGAATTAGAGTCTGAACTATAGTCTAGTCCATGATCAGCACTATAGTTTAGACTATAGTCTATGCTATACTCTGTACTATAATCTAAGCTATAGCCAGAACTATAGTCTTAAATACAGATAAGAACCTGAACTATAGTTTAGACTATAGTCTGAACTACAATCTAAATAGTCTATATTATAGTCTGAGCTATAGTCTGGATTATAGTGTGAAGTAAAATCCGTATTATAGTATGAACTATAGTCTGGATTACAGTCTGAACTATACTCTAAACTATAGTCTAGAATTCAATCTGAACCTATAATCTGGACTATAGCCTGCACTATAGTCTTGACTTTAGTCAGTAGTATAGACTATTGTCTGGAGTATCGGGCTATGGTATGAACTAGAGTCTGAACTATAGTCTAGTCCATGGTCTGCACTATAGTCTGAATTATAATATATAGTCTGGACTATGATCTAAACTATAGTCATAACTACATAATCCAATCTGAACTATAGTTTAGACTATAGTCTGGACTATAGTCCAGAATATAATCTGAACTATAATTTAGAATATAATCTGAACTATAGTCTAAGCTATAGCCAGAACTATAGTCTTAACTACAGAATACAATCTGAACTATAGTTTAGACTATAGTCTGAACTATGATCGAAACTATAGTCATAACTACAGAATACAATCTGAACTATAGTTTAGACTATATTCTGGACTATAGTTCAGAATATAGTTCTGGACTATAGTCCAGAATATAGTTCTGGAATATAGTCTGGACTATACTGATGGTCAGATGTATAATCTGGACTATAGTCTAGTCTATAGTGTGGTCTATCTAGAGTATAGTCTGGACTCTGAACTATAGTCCGGACTATATATTGTACTGTAGTCTGAACTATGGTCATGACCATAGTCTAGATTATAGTAGGAACTATATATTGTACTGAACTATAGTCTAGGATAGAATCTTAACTTTAGTCTAGGCTATAGTCTGGAGTACTGTATGGTCTCTAGTCTGAAGTATAGGCTAGACTATAGTCTTGACTGTACTATAGTCTATTCTATAGTTTGGCCTATAGTCTGGGCTATAGTTTTACCTGTAATCCAGAATATAATCTGAAATATAGTGTATGTTATAGTCTAGAATATAGTATCAACTGTAGTCTGGAGTATATAATCTGAACTATAATCGGTTCTATAGTCTGGACTAATTTCTAATCAATAGTCTGGGTAATAGTGTGAACTATAGCCTGGACTATAGTCTGGCCTATCCTGAACTAGACTATAGTCTATAGTCTGGACTATATATTGTACAGTATTCTTAACCATAGTCAGTGGTATAGTATAGACTAAAGTCGGAACTATGTACATATATATTAAACTGTAGACTTAACTATATTCTGTCTCTATATCATTTTGTAGCAGTCTAATGTTATAATAAACTTAAACGGATTTCCACCTACATAACATTAAATATTTCTATTACAACATTTCTAAACCTACCTCAACAACACTAAATGATCTTTTATAGATAAACGATCTTTTGATTTAAAAAATCCCATTTTAAACACAAATGGAAACAAGAAGTCCAAATGACAAAAGCATTATTTAATTACAAATGAATATGTGGTCTTTAAAACAAATTTGGTCAGATCATATTTAAACAAGTGTTAGACAAAACAAAAACTAAATTTGACAATTAAGTTTAAAACTATAATTTATGCAGTTATTTAAATTTAAATATTTTATAAACGAAAAAACTAAAATTGATTGTAGTTTAAGTTCATAATGTATTAATATGGTGGCATGGTTTAGTTTGACTTTAACATCGATTATATTTATTGATGTTTATTATACACATTTGTTGGGTTTTTGAGTTTTTTGTTGTTTAATGATTTGCATATGAGCAGAAGAAGCATTTGGTTTTTGTTCGATTTGGGTTCATGTGTTTAATTTAAAAAATTTAACCGTGACCTTGAACTAGTTTTTTAAGTATGTCTCTCACTCTCTCAAATATGTTTAAAACATAAATTGATCAATCATCAAAGGGGGGGAGAGTTACAATAATGTTGAAAAATTTTGTAAGTGAAATAAAAAAAATATTTTTATTTGGGAAGTAAATAGGTTTTTTTTTATTAATGAATTTATGTATTTTTAAAAATTAAGAAAAATAAGCACGTTTTTTTATATTTGATTTAAACTTGTTTTGGCAATTGTATTTAAATAACAACTTTAGCCTTTCTATTTGGTTTAAAGTGATTTTTTTGTTGTTTTGCATTTATTAATAAATATTGATGTGTTTTTTATAATATTTGCAGTTCTTCCGATCCAGTTATGGCCACAAATAATGATGGCGGAACAATAGCACCAAATCAGTGGCAACGTAATTCCCAAGCCGCCGTCTCAGTACGTCATGCCTTTAAAGCGTATGGCAAAAAGAAAAACGCAAATCAAGTTTTAAACAACTTGAATATGACAGTACCAAAGGGCACAATGTAAGTAATTATTTAAATTATTATTATTATTATTGTTGTTTTTTTAATTATTATTATTTTTTTACCCTTTTTACCTTTAACAATACATAAAGTTTTTTATTTTTTATTAAAATTAGTCATTCTCTTTTTAAAAAAGTTTCCTATATGTCGTGGCCAGTATTATTCCTTTAGCTTTTTTTGTGCTTTATCTCTATTTGTAATTTTTTAGCTTTAAAAACCAGTTTTTTTATTTCTTTATAAATTTGCTATTGGGCAACAGGAAATATTACAATTTGTTTTCATTTTAGTTTTTTTTTTGTTTATTCCTGAGAATAAAATGCATAAGTTGCAGTGGAAAATTTCTTGTTCGTTTAGGAATTTTTATGCCTTTTGCTGCTTAACTTTACATTGTTTTCGCTTCATTATGTAGTTTTTATAACAAAGATTACAAGCAATAATCACCTAAGTCGTCTTAAGATTAAAATATTTAACGAAGTCTTTATAAAAGTTGGTGATAAAAATATAATATTTTCTGTTCTTTCAAAAAGTTTCATTTTCGAGTTATTTGTTTATTGCTTATAACCGATCAATATAAGACGACTTTTACAATTTTGTTTTTGCGGTTTATTTAAACATCAAGTTAAGCTATGAATAAAAAAGTTTCATAACCTTGAGAGCATTATTGGATTTTTTTTTAAATTTATTTAATTTAAGGACATTCTCCAAGAAATGACTTATTAAAGTGGAAAAGTACTTAAATACAAAGTGTTTCTAAAACAGGAATTAGTTTTAATAAGTGAACAACAATTAAATTTGACATGACATGCAAATACATGCAGATGACTATAGCCTAGTCCATAGTCTAGTCTAATCTACAGTCTAGTCTATAGTCTAGTCTAATTATAGTAATCTAATCTGTAGTCTAGTCTAGTCTAGGCTAGGTCTAGTCTAGTCTAGTCTAGTCTAGTCTAGTCTAGTCTAGTCTAGTCTAGTCAAGTCTAGTCAAGTCCATAGCTAGTCTAATCTAGTCTAGTCTAGTCTATAGTCTAGTCTATAGTCTAGTCTATAGTCTAGTCTATAGTCTAGTCTATAGTCTAGTCTATAGTCTAGTCTATAGTCTAGTTCTATAGTCTAGTCTATAGTCTAGTCTATAGTCTAGTCTATAGTCTAGTCTATAGTCTAGTCTATAGTTAGTCTATATCTAGTCTATAGTCTAGTCTATAGTCTAGTCTATAGTCTAGTCTATAGTCTAGTCTATTAGTCTAGTCTATAGTCTAGTCTATAGTCTAGTATCTATAGTCTAGGTCTATAGTCTAGTCTATAGTCTAGTCTATAGTCTATCTATAGTCTAGTCTATAGTCTAGTCTATAGTCTAGTCTATAGTCTAGTCTATAGTAGTCATAGTCTAGTCTATAGTCTAGTCTATAGTCTAGTCTATAGTCTAGTCTATAGTCTAGTCTCTAGTCTAGTCTATAGTCTAGTCTATAGTCTAGTCTATAGTCTAGTCTATAGTCTATAGTCTAGTCTATAGTCTAGTCTATAGTCTAGTCTATAGTCTAGTCTATAGTCTAGTCTATAGTCTAGTCTATAGTCTAGTCTATAGTCTAGTCTATAGTCTAGTCTATAGTCTAGTCTATAGTCTAGTCTATAGTCTAGTCTATAGTCTAGTCTATAGTCTAGTCTATAGTCTAGTCTATAGTCTAGTCTATAGTCTAGTCTATAGTCTAGTCTATAGTCTAGTCTATAGTCTAGTCTATAGTCTAGTCTATAGTCTAGTCTATAGTCTAGTCTATAGTCTAGTCTATAGTCTAGTCTATAGTCTAGTCTATAGTCTAGTCTATAGTCTAGTCTATAGTCTAGTCTATAGTCTAGTCTATAGTCTAGTCTATAGTCTAGTCTATAGTCTAGTCTATAGTCTAGTCTATAGTCTAGTCTATAGTCTAGTCTATAGTCTAGTCTATAGTCTAGTCTATAGTCTAGTCTATAGTCTAGTCTATAGTCTATAGTAGTCTATAGTCTAGTCTATAGTCTATAGTAGTCTATAGTCTAGTCTATAGTCTAGTCTATAGTCTAGTCTATAGTCTAGTCTATAGTCTAGTCTATAGTCTAGTCCATAGTCTAGTCTATAGTCTAGTCTATAGTCTAGTCTATAGTCTAGTCTATAGTCTAGTCTATAGTCTAGTCTATAGTCTAGTCTATAGTCTAGTCTATAGTCTAGTCTATAGTCTAGTCTATAGTCTAGTCTATAGTCTAGTCTATAGTCTAGTCTATAGTCTAGTCTATAGTCTAGTCTATAGTCTAGTCTATAGTCTAGTCTATAGTCTAGTCTATAGTCTAGTCTATAGTCTAGTCTATAGTCTAGTCTATAGTCTAGTCTATAGTCTAGTCTATAGTCTAGTCTATAGTCTAGTCTATAGTCTAGTCTATAGTCTAGTCTATAGTCTAGTCTATAGTCTAGTCTATAGTCTAGTCTATAGTCTAGTCTATAGTCTAGTCTATAGTCTAGTCTATAGTCTAGTCTATAGTCTGGTCTACAGTCTAGTCTATAGTCTAGTCTATAGTCTAGTCTATAGTCTAGTCTATAGTCTAGTCTATAGTCTAGTCTATAGTCTAGTCTATAGTCTAGTCTATAGTCTAGTCTATAGCCTAGTCTATAGCCTAGTGTATAGTCTAGTCTATAGTCTAGTCTATAGCCTAGTCTATAGTCTAGTCTATAGTCTAGTCTATAGTCTAGCCTATAGTCTAGTCTATAGTCTAGTCTTTAGTCTAGTCTATAGTCTAGTCTATAGTCTAGTCTATAGTCTAGTCTTTAGTCTAGTCTATAGTCTAGTCTATAGTCTAGTCTATAGTCTAGTCTTTAGTCTAGTCTATAGTCTAGTCTATAGTCTAGTCTATAGTCTGGTCTATAGTCTAGTCTATAGTCTAGTCTATAGTCTAGTCTATAGTCTAGTCTATAGTCTAGTCTATAGTCTAGTCTATAGTCTAGTCTATAGTCTAGTCTATAGTCTAGTCTATAGTCTAGTCTATAGTCTAGTCTATAGTCTAGACTATAGTCTAGTCTATAGTCTAGTCTAGTCTATAGTCTAGGTCTATAGTCTAGTCTAGTCTATAGTCTAGTCTATAGTCTATTTTATTGTATAAACTATAGCCTAGTCTATAGTCTAGTCTATAGTCTAGTCTATAGTCTAGTCTATTGTCTAGTCTATATTCTAGTCTATAGTCTAGTCTATAGTCTAGTCTATAGTCTAGTCTATAGTCTAGTCTATAGTCTAGTCTATAGTCTAGTCTATAGTCTAGTCTATAGTCTAATGGGACCAACCGATATTAACTTTATGTTGAAATTTTGTGTCGACAATGAAAATGAGCAATAGCAGTCCAGATTTTCTCCTTTCTGTCAATACAGTGGCCCACGGAATACAATTTATATAGTCAAGCTGATCAGCAAGCACACCTTAGTCCATATATATACATATATATTTTTTTAATTTAAACGATTATTTTGTTCTCTGTAATCCCAAAAAATATGTTTGCTACTCCTTTAAAGTTGTCACATCAGTTTATTTATTAAAAATAAAATCAAAATTTATTTGCTAATTGATCGCATTGACCTTTAAATGTGTCAACATGATATTTTACATACACCTTAATATTTGTATAAACTTAGTTTTTTTTTGTTATTAAAATTAATTGCCTATGAATAGTAGACAAAATAATGATGTGCAATTTATATGCTAATGTTGTCATTATTGTTTATTCGGTTTATCATTAATTCATTCATAATATTATTTTTTTTGGAAGATATTAAAACTATTTAAGGCAATTTATGGGTTTTAGTAAATGTTTTTCGAAAAAAAAAAATCAAAGGTTTATAGCTTATAATTTAAAGGCCTTTGAAAGTATTTAAGCAGTTATATCTGATAAGATTAGTTTAAATTCTTATTGGAAACCTTAGCAAATTAACTGTGATTTCATATTTCCAAGATTTGTGTATTGCAAACATTCAATGATTCGTCATTATTACTTTTAATAGACCTTATCAGCAGTTTTGTTTTAAAACAAATCAATTTTATTTTAAAAGCTGTTTCTACTCACCTTTAACACAGACATTCCTTTCTTCTTACCGTATTATTGTGTATTAAATTTAGACCCAAAAAAATATTAATGTTTATGTCCTTATGAGATGCTAAAAAGATAGGATATAAACGGGCAGAGAAGGGGGGGATGATTTTACGCCTAGATCCGTTTATTTGATATTAAAAATGGAAACTATAAGTCCATGAAATTCAGTTCATTAACGTCCAAGAAAGAATTAGTTAGTTAGTCAGTCAGTCAGTCAGTCAGTTAGTTAGTTAGTTAGTTAGTTAGTTAGTTAGTTAGTTAGTAGTTAGTTAGTTAGTTAGTTAGTTAGTTAGTTAGTAGTTGTTAGTTAGTAGTTAGTTAGTTAGTTAGTTAGTTAGTTAGTTAGTAGTTAGTTAGTTAGTTAGTTAGTTAGTTAGTGTTTAGTTAGTTAGTTAGTAGTTAGTTAGTTAGTTAGTTAGTTAGTTAGTTAGTTAGTTAGTTAGTTAGTTAGTTAGTTAGTTAGTTAGTTAGTAGTTAGTAGTTAGTTAGTTAGTTAGTTAGTTAGTTAGTAGTTAGTTAGTTAGTTAGTTAGTTAGTTAGTTAGGTAGTAGTTCGTTAGTTAGTTAGTTAGTTAGTTAGTTAGTTAGTTAGTTAGTTAGTTAGTAGTTAGTTAGTTAGTTGTAGTTAGTTAGTTAGTTAGTTAGTTAGTTAGTAGTTAGTTAGTTAGTTAGTTAGTTAGTTAGTTAGTTAGTTAGTTACAATAACATTCCATTGAGTTTTCTAAGTGTACTGAGTTTTTGATCCATAAGTAATCAGCTGTTTTAATTTTCATTTATAGCGTTAGTTTTTTCACTATATAATTTACATAAATAATGAAACATTTTTTTTAAAAACTATTTAATAAAAAAATCGTCAAGCTAAATTTAATTCACACATTAGCTAAATATTTAATTAGAATTTAACAAAAACGTTATCATATTTTTCCTCCATAAGCAAACTTATAATTAAATGTTGAAATTAGAAAATAATTTGTATAATGTGTTATATATTAAAATAATTAAATACAAAAATTAGTAAAATAATACTTAAATATTTTTTTAAAAAAGAAAATAAAACAAATATTAGATAATTTTGCCAACAAAAAAGAAACTCTTTTTCTGAATACAATAGTCTCTTATATCGTGGGAACAATTATTTAAAACTTTTTGAATATTACTCAATATTTGTATATTTTTCCCAGAAAAAAAAACGAAACTGATAAAAATGGCATAAAAATAAATGTTGTTATTGTTTAATAACAAACAGTGAGAAATTTTGGTTATTTTCTTTTTTTATTAGTTGTGGACTAAGATTAAAATGAAAGTCTTTAATAACAATATACTAGAGAGTTATGGTTACATATTGTACAACAATATTAAAATTTATTAGCAACATGCTAAATAATTCAACAATGTTGTTGTTATACAATTTGCAGAAAAAAAGTCTTTTCAAATACAAACCAACCATACAATATTATGACAAAATTATAAATCTGAAAATATGGCGTTATTTCACTTCCATTCATTTTTTTCCGTTTAGTTGGCTTTTAGTATAAAGACATTTGTTTGTAACATCTGCTAACAATTAAATATTTTTTAATATGTATTTTTAACCTTAATTCTTATTTGATTTCATAAGATTTTTTTTTACAAATAATTTTTAAAAATAAATTTTACTTTTTATTTGGTATTTATTTTTAATTTGATTTTATGCAATTTTTATATTTATAAATTTTTTTTCGTTATTGTTATAACTAGTTTGTTTTTGTTATTGTGGTTTTTTCTATGAGATTTCAAAACCGTTCAAAGGTGTTTAGACATGCGATTGTAATTAGAGCGATTATCTACATATTGCACACTTATAAAAATATATTTTATTTTTAATACTATTGTTATAGAACCGAAAAATATTAGTTAATATTAAATAACTACAACATGGAGATTTTGGTATGGCAATTTTTAAAATAATCTAATAAAACATAAAATTGCATAGACTACACTATAGACTAGACTATAGAGACACTATAGACTAGACTATAGACTAGACTATAGACTAGACTATAGACTAGACTATAGACTAGACTATAGACTAGACTATAGACTAGACTATAGACTAGACTATAGACTAGACTATAGACTAGACTATAGACTAGACTATAGACTAGACTATAGACGACTATAGACTAGACTATAGACTGACTATAGACTAGACTATAGACTAGACTATAGACTAGACTATAGACTAGACTATAGACTAGACTATAAACTAGACTATAGCTAGACTATAGACTAGACTAAACTAGACTATAGACTAGATATAAAGACTAGACTATAGACTAGACTATAGACTAGACTATAGACTAGACTATAGACTAGACTATAGACTAGACTATAGACTAGACTATAGACTAGACTATAGACTAGACTATAGACTAGACTATAGACTAGACTATAGACTAGACTATAGACTAGGACTATAGACTAGACTATAGACTAGACTATAGACTAGACTATAGACTAGACTATAGACTAGACTATAGACTAGACTAGACTATAGACTAGACTATAGACTAGACTATAGACTAGACTATAGACTAGACTATAGACTAGACTATAGACTAGACTATAGACTAGACTATAGACTAGACTATAGACTAGACTATAGACTAGACTATAGACTAGACTATAGACTAGACTATAGACTAGACTATAGACTAGACTATAGACTAGACTATAGACTAGACTATAGACTAGACTATAGACTAGACTATAGACTAGACTATAGACTAGACTATAGACTAGACTATAGACTAGACTATAGACTAGACTATAGGCTAGACTATAGACTAGACTATAGACTAGACTATAGACTAGACTATAGACTAGACTATAGACTAGACTATAGACTAGACTATAGACTAGACTATAGACTAGACTATAGACTAGACTATAGACTAGACTATAGACTAGACTATAGACTAGACTATAGACTAGACTATAGACTAGACTATAGACTAGACTATAGACTAGACTATAGACTAGACTATAGACTAGATTATAGACTAGACTATAGACTAGACTATAGACTAGACTATAGACTAGACTATAGACTAGACTATAGACTAGACTATAGACTAGACTATAGACTAGACTATAGACTAGACTATAGACAAGACTTTAGACTAGACTATAGACTAGACTATAGACTAGACTATAGACTAGACTATAGACTAGACTATAGACTAGACTATAGACTAGACTATAGACTAGACTATAGACTAGACTATAGACTAGACTATAGACTAGACTATAGACTAGACTATAGACTAGACTATAGACTAGACTATAGACTAGACTATAGACTAGACTATAGACTAGACTATAGACTAGACTATAGACTAGACTATAGACTAGACTATAGACTAGACTATAGACTAGACTATAGACTAGACTATAGACTAGACTATAGACTAGACTATAGACTAGACTATAGACTAGACTATAGACTAGACTATAGACTAGACTATAGACTAGACTATAGACTAGACTATAGACTAGACTATAGACTAGACTATAGACTAGACTATAGACTAGACTATAGACTAGACTATAGACTAGACTATAGACTAGACTATAGACTAGACTATAGACTAGACTATAGACTAGACTATAGACTAGACTATAGACTAGACTATAGACTAGACTATAGACTAGAGTATAGACTAGACTATAGACTAGAGTATAGACTAAACTATAGACTAGACTATAGACTAGTAAAAAATTGTTTACAACTTTTAGCTGTAGCGAATTTGTGCAATCCAATTGAACCATACTTTTATTCGGTCTTTTTGTTTAATTAATTTGTTCTTGAAATTGTTTATTGTTTCAAAATAAACATTTTAAAAACTGGTTTAATGGGGTTGAATAAGTTAATAAATTTTTATTTACATTAATTAATTTTATTTTTAATTGGCAGGTTTCAGATACCCCTTTTCAATACAAAACAATTAAATTCTGGATTATTGTCTTTGGTTTTCCCAGATTTCTTGTTTGTTTAACAGATCTATTGGTTCCGCATATTTTGTATTTCAAATTATCATCAAAATTAAGGAACATTAAGATAAAGATGGAAATTAATATTTTTAAAAAGAATCATTTAAAAAGTTTGTTTTTGGAAAACAATATTAATTCTAATCTTAAGTAAATAACAATTTTTAAATTTTTTCAAAACTATTTCAAAACTTTATCTTTAGGTTTCCGTTAATAAAGTTTTTATAAAACTTTTAGTACTCTCACCATTTTATTAATTAAATCCTCTATTTGCTTTCTCTTTTTTCCCTTTTAGTTATGGTCTTCTAGGCGCTTCGGGTTGTGGTAAAACAACATTGCTCTCCTGCATAGTGGGCCGTCGTCGACTCGATTCTGGTGAAATTTTCGTATTGGGTGGCAAACCCGGTACTCCTGGCTCTGGTGTACCTGGCAAACGTGTCGGCTATATGCCACAAGAAATAGCACTCTATGGTGAATTTTCCATACGCGAAACAATGATGTATTTCGGTTGGATATTTGGCATGGAAACGAAAGAGATCGTAGAACGTTTACATTTCTTGTTGAATTTCTTGGATTTACCATCGGAGAAACGTCTAGTAAAGAATTTGAGTGGTGGCCAACAGAGACGTGTATCGTTTGCTGTGGCACTAATGCACGATCCGGAATTATTGATTTTAGATGAACCCACAGTTGGTGTAGATCCTCTGCTAAGACAGAGTATATGGAATCATTTGGTTCATATAACAAAATCGGGACAGAAAACAGTTATAATCACAACACATTATATAGAAGAGGCCAGACAAGCGCATACGGTGAGTGGAAGCATCAACAGAATAGTTTTGAATTTATTTTCTAATTTTGTCAATTTTTATGTGGAATTTGCAGATAGGTTTAATGCGTTCTGGTAATCTATTGGCCGAAGAATCACCCAGCGTTTTACTATCCATGTACAAATGTATCAGTTTAGAAGAAGTATTTTTAAAATTATCCCGCATTCAGTCACAAAAGGGCGATATATCTCAGGTTAACTTCAGGTGTGTTAATAGTTTGCTAAACTTTAATCTTTAATTTAATGTTTTTTTTTATTTTAATTTCATTTAAAAAGCATGATTTTTTAAAATTAATTTTTATTTTTCTTATTGGTTTTATTTTCATTTTTTTTTTAATTTTGTTTGCATCCAACACCAAAACAAAACTCTACTACTACAACTACCACCATCAACACCCAACCACTACTATTCTTAATTGATCAAAAAAATGTTAATCTAAATTAAAAACAAAATTTCATTAAAACACCTGCCTAAAATTAAAAAAATTCATTATTCAAAAAATAACTTTCGAAAAAAATCTTTATATAACATAAATTTGTTATAACATTTTGTTCACATCCTGTGTTTGTCTTGCCATATTTAATGTCTTTTTTTTGTATAACATAATGATGATCATATTGTCTGATTTGGGTGTTTGTAATCATTGTTGTCTTGTGATTGTTAATTGTTCTTAAAATTAATAATTGTTTGGAATAAAAAAACAAAACAATTAACAGTAATAATTTCATTACATGCCATGGGTTTCGGCAGCAAAATGGATAAACCTAGTTCCAGTCAAGAAGGCGGCGTTGTGGGCTTAAATTTCCATCAGAGCAAAGAAGTTTTAATCAACGATACTAATGGATCCATTTATACGGTTTGTTGAAAAATGTAGTATTAAATTAGTAACAACAACAACAAAAATTCTCTCAAGATATAAATTTTGCTAAAAATCTATGTCAAGATATAAATTTTCTTTAGAAAGTTATCTCAAGATATAAATTTTTATAGAAATTTATCTGAAGATATAAATTTTTGTAGAAATCTTTCTTAAGTTATAAATATCTATAGAAATTTATCTTAAGATAAAAATGTTTATAAAAATTTGTGTTAAGACATAAATTTTGTTATAAATGTCTAAAGAAAATTGTCTAAAATTTTGTTAATTTATTCCCCTAATAATATATACTATTTATTTTTTCCTTCCCAAATTATGGCCTCAGTTAAATCAAGAACCCTACGATCCACCCATGAAAAAGAATAACCCAAATGATGAAGAAAGTTGTCAAGATTGTTATGCCAATTTATGTAGAGTAAGTTCCTAAAATCCCTAAACTTTATAACAAAAACAAATTCTAATTAAAAAACTTCTCTTAAAGGTAACTTCCAAGGGTAAAATCAAGGCCTTATTAACAAAGAATATGTTGCGCATGTGGCGTAATGTGGGAGTAATGTTGTTCATCTTTGCCCTGCCCGTTATGCAAGTTATACTGTTTTGTTTGGCTATAGGTCGCGATCCTACCGGTTTAAATTTGGCTATTGTTAATCATGAAATGAATAATACGGTGAGTTTATTATATCAATTATAATCAAAATAAAATTTTAACTTTTAATGAAATTTTTCAGGAAATCTGTTATTGGGAAGATGGTTGTCACTTTACTAACTTGGGCTGTCGCTATCTGAATCATCTAAATCATAGTGTGGAGAAAACGTTTTATTCCGATCTGGAGGATGCAAAAGAAGCGGTTAGACTGGGCAATGCCTGGGGTGCTATTTATATAACGGAAAACTTTACAGATGCTTTTACCGCCAGAGCTGCCTTAGGTAAGGATTTCTTGATTATATATGTTTTTAATCGCCTACATTAATAAGTTTTTTTTCTTTATAAAGGTCGCGATTCCGATGATGAAACCATTGATCAGTCTGAAATTAAGGTTTGGCTTGATATGTCTAATCAACAGATTGGTGTTATGTTAAATCGTGATATTCAGCTAGCTTATCGTGACTTTGCTATGGGTCTTTTAGATCAATGTGGTAATAATCCCAAATTGGGTGATGTACCCATACAATTTAAGGAACCCATTTATGGCACTATGAATCCTTCGTTTACCGACTTTGTGGCC